TTTCAAAGTCTGCTGAAATTTGGCTGAGTGCAAAACGACTGGCTTACTTAGGTTGTATCCCAAGACAGAGGTATTCAATGATGCACTGTCGCGCCCAGGGACAGAGCGGGCAGAGACAAACCCTCTTTAAGAGACTTGTGATTTCCTGTGATTTGCAGAAAGGTTTGTCATGTTCATTTCTCTTTGGCATCTGCTTAGAGACTCTTCATTTTCAAGGGTGTGATTTGTTGTCAATGTCAGTGATTTGCAGTGGCCCTGGGAGGTCGGGGCGTGGGGTTATTGGGTGTTTCTTTTAGCAGAGAGGGAAGCTGGGTGAGCAGAAGGACCCTCTACGAAGGCTTGGCAGAAGCATCTGGTTTGGAAGGTGGGTGTGCAATGTCCATTCACAGGGTGGGGAAGCAGGAATCCGAATGATCCCCAAGCCTGAAGTGCAGAGGGCACTGGGGGCCCCTCCTGTTCAAGGACATCTGAGAGAAAGCTCTTGGGGCTTTCTACCTGGCTGTGGAGTTGGGTCACTGCATCGCTTGACCTTTTCTGAGGTCAGGATGTAAGAAGGTTAGTTTAATCGTACAATTCATTAGCTAATTGTTGAGGACTTAATAAGTGTCAACCAAGTCATGGCTGTGTTTAACAAGAAAGATGAGAACACCTGAGTGTCCTCATTCCAACTTTCTTTGGCATCAGGGAATCCAACTCTGTGGCTCTCCATTCCTTATCTGTTCATCCCCTCACCCACTCATTCATGCACACCTGTATGCGTTCATTCAGCAGACATTTAATTTTCCCCTGCAAATCTTGGCTCACTGTGGCACTCGATTGATGAGTGGTCTAGATCCTTCAGAAAATGAGCTCGCTAGTGGACAAGAGCTCAGGACGGGAGCAGGAAGAAGACGTCAGGAGAGGCGTGGAACTCTTCAGCTGGCCTCCACTATGTCGGTGCAGTGCTTCAGACGGGATTTCAATTAGCAGTGTTGTCAGTGACACTATGCACTGAACCTTATCCCAAACGCTTTGGGTGAACAAAAAAGTTATTGTGACCTAACGAATGGGAACAAGATGTTTCCCCCGCTACCGGGGGACGTGATTAAACGGTCATTATCATTAATAAGGCATGCAAGGGGCGGGGACTGAGCCCCTTCCCTGCGGGGGGCGGGGTTAAACTACATCTCATTCCTTCAGCCCAGGATATTTTAGTTTTTCATTGCACCTGTTACCTGATCATACGCTAACCTCTTTACTTATCTTTTTTTGAGGGGGAGGGAGTGTAGAATAAGGGTGCAAGTGTATGTGTAATGCATTCTCAGGGACTGGATAATATTGAAATCTAACATTTGTAGAGTTCTTACTAGGTGGCGGGGACTGTGTGAAGTGATACTAGACTTTTTCTGGCTTTGGTCATTGTTTTGATATATAAGATTTGGTTTTTCAAACTTCGTTTTCCAAATAGGTTATGTGGGTAACATTTTCCCACAAATTGGAGCTAAATCTTTAGCTCCAAGATTATGACAAAAAAATGTTAAAGCATGCACTTAATATATTTGAAAATATAACTTTACAACTATTTAGACAATATAATATAAATTTGGGGAGACTGATTTAATGATGTGCAAGAGAAAAATCAAACATGAGACCATGACTTAGAAGGGAAATAAATTGATCATTCCAGTAATCTGACTCCTTATTTAGAAATTTAGCTGAAAATTGAGAGAAATTTCTTTAAACCTGTAAGAATTTTCCAAGTATTTCTTATACAGGAACAACATATCCGAGTACAGTAATGATGATTTGAGGTTTAATTTCTGTTGCTTTGATCAACAGAAAATGCTTACTCGGTAGCCCCTACTGACAATGGAGAAAATATAAAAGCCCGCTTGTCCATTCTCCCAGTCTGCAGTCCTTGTGTTTAGCAAGGCGACCCAGTAAGCTGCTCACCTTTGTCCTCCTTACCTGAAGGCTTATCTTTTTGGCCATGAAGTGTGAAGCCCAAGCCGAAGGGAGCCTGTGGCCGTCCTCGTCGCCCATAGTTAAGCCTACTTGTTCAGTAACATTTGGTCCTGGTTGAACGGCAGGCGCTGCTTTACTGGACCCAGGGGCTTATTACCTTGACCCTGTCTGGTGGCTCTCTGGCACGATCTCCATTTGGAGGACAGGGTGCTGGGGTACAGAGCAAGAGATCAGAGGCCAAAGTCGGAATCTGACCTTGGAGGAGGATTCCCAGGACCTCCCAGCTTCACTGCCCCCTCTCTGGGAGGCTGTGCCGTCATGGCGGACACGAACGCCGGGGCTCTGGAGTCAGACTCCCTGGTTGGAATCCCAGCTACTCCACTTTCTGCCTGTGCATTACTGGGCAAGAGAGCTAGACATATTTGATTCTGCCTTTGCTGCATAGAAGTAAGTGTTAAGATTTATATAAGTGGCTAGACTCTCGGGATTGCCAGAGTTTGAAGATGTAGGCAGACAGTCTTCTTTAGGTCTAGAACAGTCTAAGCTCATCAATTATTTCTTTAACAGCAACTCAGCAAATACTATAAACCCATCTACCATTCTGGTCCTTATTTATGTCAGGGGTCAGGGTGGGAGGGAACAGGGAAAAAGCTAGGGGACGGGGATGGGAGAAATGGGAGATTCTGGGTTCAGAGAGAGAAAAGGCGTAGGGGATATTTGAGTGCAAACCTCAGCATCTCAGCCATTAGAGGACAGAAGATATCTGGGGTACTCAGCGAAAATGAAGGAAACTTCCTAGGAGTGTGAATTCAGTTCGTGATAAGCATAGGGAATGTCCATAGGCCCAAAGATCTTTTTCTCTTTTGTCTTTTGATGGAAGTTTTTTTTCAGGGCTGGTCCCTAAGTGAAGCTGAGGTTCTGTTTTCTTGCCAGAGCCGCTGGGCATGACTGTACAGTGTGCGTACCCCATGAAGGGGCCAGGCTGAAGGGAAAAATGGGAGTGGACCCATCAAGCTGTGTGCCCCGTTGTGGGGCTGGGTCTGCCAGGAGGAAGGGGGATGCCCCCACCACAGAGGTGCCTTCTACTCTCCCAGCCTGGCTCACCGGACTGGGTCCTGAGCTCCTGTCCAAATTTGAGTAGAGTGTCCACACAGGCCAGTGGAGATCCTGCCTCGACCTCCATTTCTTGTTGCCTTCACTTCACTTCGTGGCCTAAAATCTTCTTGATTTCTCCTTAGCTGAAGAACTTGAAAGAGTCATGCATATTAATGAGCAAAGGATTTGACATATGACCTCTCCTAGGAGGAGTGAGTATTTTAAGACAATGCCCGGGAGAAAGCCATTCTCAATGCACAGAAATAAACTGGACGGAGGATCATCAGACATCCTGGGGGAGGGTGTTTTTGGGCGGATGGGGAGAAGCTCAGATCTTCCTTTTCTACACTTTTTAAAAAACCACTAGATGGCTTATAGAAGGCTCAATCTGCCTCCTGGACTGAGAAGGGTGTGTTCTCTGTAGACACGTGCAAGCATTCATGGTGAGGAGGATTAGCTAGCAAAGGCCAAAGTGTTCTGTCAGCAGCTTCCTTGAGACTTTGGATCTTTCCTTCCCCCGACTCCTTCTGTCACTTGCCCATGTCTCTCTCCTCTCCTCTTTCCTGTGAGCCTCTGCAGGAAGTCACGTGCAGGATAAGCCTCAGCATCTTCTGCTTTGGGTGAAATGGGCGATCTTTGTTTCCACAATGACTCGCTGCGACCAGGAAGGATCTAAATAGTCTCATGTTCTCCCAGAGGAGGATGAAACCCTCCGTGTCCTCCAGTTCCAGGGAGTGAAGAAATTAATGTTAGTGAGTAGAATTCTGAATTTCAGATCATTCTTTTAAACTGAGAGCATCACCTTTATTCTTTTAGCTAGTAAAGATTTGTTCTGCCAATCAAGAGGTAAACATTTCGCACCTCTGAATTTGTGAGTTGTAATGGCGTGGGCTGTGAAAATCTCTGCTTTCTCTCTTGTTCCTGCTAAGACAGAATCTGGGTATTGTGTTAACTCCGGGTCCTTACAGACTGTTATTCTAAGTCACACGTTACAGGAGGAGAGAATTGCCAACATGCCACGTGGTATAACATATAGTTCTATCCTAACCAAAACCTTCTTGGGATGCATAGATAAAGGATTTGGGAGAAACACATTGTGTTGTTTCAGGCTTGTCAGGCAAATCCGTGTTCTGTGTAACAGTTGGATGAGAGCGTCCCAGGAGAGGTTTCACGGCTGCTGAGCATCCCTCAAGAGTGACATTGGAAGGGAAGCCGGAGCTGGCTCCTGATCAGAATGGCCATCCAGCCAGCAACCAGTGCAGTCTGCTCTTGGAGGGGACTTCCTGCCCGAGCCCGAGGGTCCGGAGGGAGCGTGGGCCGCAGCTCTGGCCGTGTTTACTTAGACTTCCTGGACTGTGAGTAATAAACATGGTTAACAGCCTGGCTGGCCAGCTAGCACCCACCCAGCAGAAATAAAACAGAGTAGGCTGAACTATCACCAGGAAAGGAACGCTTTCTAATTCTGTCAATTTTATCAAGCTGTTTGACACAGAGAATGGATCAGAAAGGCCCTCCTCCCTCCATCACCCACACCCTTGGAGGCATCTCCATGCAGAGAGTGCTCGTGTGGCTCCTAAGGACAGAATCTGTCCCTGGGGGTCCAGGGGCTCCCATTCCTGGTTGCAACCAAATTCTTAACGTTCAGCAGAGGTGGAAAAATCATGATGTTTCCTCTCCACAATGGAGCAATGAAACCAGAGAGAGCGAGTGTGTTTATGTGTCCGAGAGTTTTAGAGGGAGGGGAGATTGCCTGCGTGACTTATCCGCAGGCAGGAAGGCAGGGCTGCAGGCTGGAGAGAGGGACGCTTAATAGCTATTTAACCATTTTTAAACAAACCATAAAATCATATTGACCAAAGGCCTACTGGGCATTGTCCGTGTCTGAACATCTTCCAGCCGAGTTGTTTCCCAAATGGAGGATTCGTTAGCAAAGACTCACGCATCGAAGTTGTCAGAGACTGGGGGTTGGGGGAGCGCCATGAATATGTGTGATTTCAGATTCTGTAACCCCCTCTGACAACAGCTGTCTGCGGTTTCTACCATGGAACCCTGACATGCTTCATGCTCTGTGCTCTGAGGTTCCCGGGCGCCTCACAGAGGGGGAGCTGGCTGGTCACCCGAGGATGACATACTATCCCTGCTGTTCGCGCAGGCAACCTCGGCTACGTGGGAAAGAATTTTCAGAGACACCAGGGTAAGGAACGAGCCACGTCCACTTCTCATCTTGGCAGCAGGAGTGTTTCTGAAACAGTTTGTGTTGCACAAAAGTGTAGTTTATGGAGAGCATTTTGTTGATTCAGCCATAAAAATGTGACCTACAATATGTTTGTTGAGGGGAACGAGCTCTGTTTCTGTTTTCTGTTGAGGAATATACTTTTCGCAGTTGAAACCCAGCGTCTCCTAAAGCGAGTCCTTTGTGAAATTTCGGTTGTTTTGACTGCTTCTCTGCATTTCAGGGATGGAGGAGGGGCTTCCTACAAAGTCTAATTTCGGTTTGGAACATGTTCATTTGTAAGACAAGCTGCTAATGGACACCTGTGACTTAGGAATAAGGACCAAGGTTGGGTGTTGTAGTTGGAAAGACAATGGCTCCCAAAGATAGCAGGTTCTAATCTCTGGAAACTATAAATTCCACCTTGTTTGGAAAAAAAAAAGGGTCTTTGTTGATGTGATTAAGCGAAGGATCTTGAGATGATGACATTACCCTGGATTATCTGGGTGGGCCGTAAACACAGTCACAAGTGTCCTTATATAAGTGAGAAAGCCATGCAACCATGGAGGCAGGGATTGGAGTGATGTGGCCACAGAATAGGCAATGCCAGCAGCTGGAAGAGGCAAAGAATGGATTCTCTTCCAGAGCCTCCGGTGGGAGTGTAGCCCTGCCAACTCCCCGCTTTTGGCTCAGTGATAGTGATTTCAGGCTTCTGGCCTCCAGAACTGTGAGAGAACTGCTGTTTTAAGCCACCCAGGTTTTGGCCATTTGTTACAGTGGCCACAGGAAACTAATACCAGGGCTATTCATTATTTCATTTTTGTGAGATATATCTGTGTCTATTTACATAGAAATATAAATAAAAACTACTAATAAAATAGTAATGTTAATAAAAGATAGATTGTGTGTGTGTGTGTGTGTGTGTGTGTGTTGGGGTGTGTGTATGTGACTTTTACTAAAGGGGGAGGCACCCTGTAAGGACTGGAAAGTCGTCCTTCTTCAGAGCTTACAGTCTAGAACCTTAATTAAGTGCAAGAGTCAAACTGCCTGAGGTTCAAATCTGTGACTTATTAGCCCTGTGATCTTAGACAAGTTAAATAACTTCTTTGGAAAGTACATAGTTCTTTGAGGAGTAAGTGCATTCATCTGGGTGACAGCACGGTGCCAGCCCGAAGGTCGTCTCCCATGCCAGCCACATGGTGACGGCTATCGAGGCCACACCAGCTACAACCAAGGCAAACTCTGACAACGTCCATATTTATGGAATGAACTGAGTGCTTTAAGAAGAGAAGGGAAAGACATCACTTTGGGCTGCGGGATTTATGGACACACTAGGGACTAGGGGGCATTCAGATCTAGACTTTGAGGATGGACAGTTTTTCTGTAGGCAAAGACCAAGGAAACAATCCAGGTAAAGGAGACAGTGTGAAACAAGGAGCCGAGGGAAGAAAAGCCCCCGGTGTTTTCATCTGGAAGGAAAGTTTGAGGGATGTAGGAGTTAAGGCAGGGAAGACAGGTCAGGACCTGGTAGCGAAGGGTCCTTGAAGACACCCTGGAATATTTGCAGCTCTACACTGCTACAGCATGACCAATTAAGTCCCAGGTAATTAAACCTCCTGCTAGGAGCATGAGCAAATTCTTGGCACAGGATGCTTAAGGGAGTGGGAGGGAAAAAGAGTCTTCCACTTGCAAAGTGTCGGGTGAAGCACCGACCAGACACTCACCATGAGTCTGGATGAAGTATTGCTCTGGGCCTGGCGCTTCGTGGCCAGGGCTTTGCAGTAATTGGAGTGGCGCCTTCTTTATCTACAAGGGAATCATTTTGCTCTGCCTTCAACCATAGCTTTGGAATCTGGGCCATTTAATGCATTAAAGTATGTCCATTAAATAGGTAAGTTATGCCAGCAGGCCTGGAACAAGCACAGAGGATAAGCGGACTTTTTACAAAGCACGTAGCAAACCCAGTGTCTCTCACACGGCTTGTTGAAGGTTGGAGATCTCATGGCAGTCAGTCTTCTGGGATTTAGGTTCCTGGACATGCAGAAGTCAAGGAGGGAGGGGTTTACACATTGAAGGCTTTCAAAAGGCAATGGGGGCGTGAGACAAAACGGCTTTAGGCTGGAAAGACTGAGGCTGGGAAAGTAGCAGCCTGCAAGTGGACACGGTGCCTGTGTCCAGAGCTAAGTTCTTATGATGAAGACAAGTTCACCTTTATCAGCATTTCATTCTAGAGACTAAAGCTCAGAAGAAGCCGCCACTTGACAGGGCATCAATCCTTGGCTTCCTGGATAACATACTGAGATCAGTGTGTTTTCTAACCAATGGTTGGTGTTCCCCAGTTGGGTTGAGGTCTTCGAGGGGCGGTGGGAGGGGGCAGGCAAAGCCAGGCTCTGGCATCCTTACCTGGGGATTTGAGAAGGAAAGATTTGTCTCAAGTCGCAGTAGATTCAAAATTCTAAACACAGAATCAGTGGGGTTTCCAGTGAGATGTTTGAGTGGGAGGTAATTTCACTCTTTCTCTCGCTCAGCTAAAAGTAGGTGATAAAAAACAAAAGGCTTTATTTATGGTGGAGGTGGGATATTTGAAAGAAGAAGGAAGTGGTGATACTTTCAGGGAGAGATTAGGATGGAGTGATGACGGTGGATCGCGGGGAAGCTTTGCTGGGGAGAGAGTTAGGGACAGACGGGAATTCAGGAGATATTTCCAGCTCCTTCTCTCTGGTCCCTTAGCCATTTATCTCCATTTGTTCTTTGCCCCTTTCCTGTTCTGAGTCTTTCCTTATTGTGCGTTTCCTGCTGATATCAGGATTGCTAACTCTAGAACAGGTCTAGGCAGTCTATGACACAATATATCTGAAGGACCGAATCTTTCCCAATTTTTAGGATGCCCTCAAACTTTCAGGTTAGTTTTTAAAAACCTTATTTTAAAATAAACTATTAACACATGTAGCAATATGTATGGAGCTCAAAATAATTATGCTAAGTGAAGGAAGCCATGTGATCAGGAAGGTTGCATACTGTGTCATTCCATTTATAAAAAACTCTAAAAAATGCAAACTAATCTGTAGTAACAGAAAGAAGATCAGTGGTTTCCTGAGAAGTCAAGAAGCTGGGAGGAGGGTAAGGTAATGAGGGGCATGAGGAAACTGTGGGAAGCCATGCATTTGTTCCCTGTCTTGATTGTGGTGATGGTTTTATGGAGATACATATATATGTCAAAACTTACCAAGTTGTACATGTCAGATATGTGCAATATTGTATGTCAATTAGAACTCAATAAAGCTGTTTTAAAAAACCAGTCTTAACTTTAGGACATCAGCTGGTTAAACATGGGTAAAAGTATGTGCAGGGAAGTAATCGAGTGGTCACGACGTGGTGTAGGAGGTGACAGAGCGCTTGAGGGTGGAGAGAGGACTTGAACGCAGCGTGGTGTGGATGCAGGGCCAGGATATGAGCACCAGTGTGCCTGTGATTTAGACTGGTCTCCCCCTTCTTGCCGATTTCATTGTTCCTGGTCACGTCCACCTTTTCCGTGGCAAGAAGGGAAAAATTCACAAGCAAGAAAGCAGTGTTCATTAGCCTGGAACCAGTAACACTTATGGCAAGTTCCCTTCTGTTTGGTTAATCCACACTCACACTCCACATCCTCCAGAAACAGCGAACTGGCCTGAGACTCTGGGCCCCTAAAGTGGTCCTTATGTTTTGCTGAGTCTCCACGGCTCATACTCTGAGACCTGGGGGAAAACGGAAGCTAATCTCTGAAGTTCTTAATCCAACTGTAATAGACCCTGGTAGAAAAATATGGGCATAGACATTTAATGCCCTCGGACTTTTTCGTTTATTCCTAAAGTACTTGTTGAGTGTATACGTATAATTGGTAATAAGATGGAAATGATCTCTCGTAGCACTTACTGATTCAGGCTCCGGGGATGACAGATCACCAGGTGGTGATGCTGTGGGCTGTCTGTATCTACAGCAAGCTATGGAAGGTCGGAGAAGGCGCCCCCGACTGGAGTAACTGGCGAAGCTCCCTCGTGTAGGACTCGGAGGAAAGACGTGGATTTCTCTTTATGAAAGTATGCAGCATGACCTTTCCCAGGGAAGGCAACTGAGAACCCTAAAAATGCTTACGATTCTACAATAAAGACATGCATTTCACAGGCCTCTGAGGCTGCAGTGAGGTCCTGGGAGGACCTGGGAAAATCCTGGGATTAGGAAACCTGAAATTAGAGCCTACGGCTGGCACTGGGTTGAGTGACAGGCGACATTGCTGTAGTGCACACAGGCCAGGCTGGGCTGCACCCCCTGGGGGGGGGTGACAGGCGGTACAAACATCCCAGTGTAGTGGGTCCAGGACCCAGGGACAGGGAGGTGGACGCCGAGGTTTCCCAAAGGAGGCCTGAACACGCTCTTCCTTTTCACACATGGCATCACCAAAAAGTCTCAGGGGAAACAAGAGATGTGGCCAAGAAAGGACGTCAAGTGATAACACAGACCATCGGCTCTGAAGGGAGGAAAGAGGGGAACTCGGCTGGTTTTTAGATTTGTGACTGACACAGCCGAGCTGGGGAGATGCGGTGCCCAGGGTCCCTCCTCGAAGTGTAACTACAGTTCACAGCAGTAGCTGTCCCGCGGACCCGGAGGGGCCGTGGCCGGGGGATCATGGCACAGATACCACTCCCCCGGGTCTGGACGCTGACGGCCTTTCTGTGAACCTGTGGGGCTTTCAGCCCGACCCAGGCGGCCCAGGCGCCTCCAAGGAAGCGGCTGTTTCACAATATTCCACAAGCTTCTGTTTCTGTTATCAGGATGGTCACTCCCTGGCTAATGAAAAACATCTCTCTGGTCCAAACATGACCTTGAGGTTTATCTAAATCGTTTGTTGCTCAGCAGAACAACATATATCAGAAGTGAAATATACGCCAAAAGACACTTCTAATGCACCATTTATCTTCTCTGTAATTGATTCTCATGCAGGACCAATGCCCGGTGGGGATTCGCAGAGGCCTTAACACACTCTGCCATTATGATGACATCATCTCACAGAAAGCAGCCCTTCTGGATGCTTGATAGACGACAGGGTCCTTTTTCTTCTGTAAGTGCTGCTCACAGCCCCACATTTAACTATGCGATTACAAGGGGCGACTGTTCCTAGCATACTTTCCACCCTTTATTTTCAGCCGGCCCTGTCAAGTTCATCCCACGCTCCAATCAAAATAAAATTATTTCAAAATCCATAGCCAATTGATTACTCTTGTCAAAAGAAAGTATGTAACAATACATATCCATCGACTTTCGGTTCTGGTCGGTGTTGAGATTTATTGTCTCTAGGCAAATATTGAGCTGGGTGAAGTTTCGGTCAGATACATCCTTCTCAGTCAATAAATTTAAGTGTTGATTTTGGGAGGAGTCAATGGCCATGATCAAGCGTTTGCGTAAACCGATGGTTTTAAGACTGTGAAGGGAAGGTAGAGCCACAAAACCTAGTTCAAAAACTTCCGGGACCTATGGGTTTCAAAGACTTAAAGACATGCAACAAATGTTAGAAATAATGTTGCCAAAAGGATGTTCCTGAATGTCAGGCAGGTACAGTGAGAGACCACCTTGCTTTGAAGAATAGCCTGGGATGGAAAGATCTCCATCTATGAAAGCCATTACACGCAGTTGTACATCATGATAATATTAATTACATAATCATTGCAAATGGCCCTCCAGGATGTCATCCTCTGACCCCGAGGGCTGCTGCAGGCAGGGCGGTTGAACTGTAATTGGTGGTTTCTCTAGATCTGTTAAGTGGAGGGGCTGGGCAGCTGAACCCTACCACCAAAACTGATGTCTTAAAGTGGACAGGCGGCCTTGAGAGATGCTGTCAAGGCTATTATACCAGCTGGGTTTCATGAATTCATTGCAAACAGCAAGAACATCACTCAGCTAAGCATGTTCGTTCCTTGAGACGTAAGCACACCATTTCAAGTCCTAATATCGCACTCAACTTCTCTTTTCTAGTTATGAAGAGAAGAGGGGAAAAGGAACATATCGCCAGGACACGCAGAAATTCTCAGCAGAGCCCCAATATATCCTGTGTTAGTCAGGATAGGCTGGGCTCCACCGCAGTAACAGATAAACCTGTGCATTCAAGGGGCTTCATTCAACTTTATTTCTCATTCATGTCACAGTCTGGGGTGATTTGACTGACTTTCCTTGGTGGGCTCTACGCAGGGACTCAGGGATAAATGCTCCTTCTATCTTGTGTTCCTACCATGTTGAGAGTTGAGTTAAGCTTACCCTGTGGGGTTCCTGCCTCTGCATTCATTTTGTCCAGCCAGTCAGCCTGCAGGGGCCTGAAGCTGACACTAGCCCCTTCACGCAAGCACATGCCTTAGGTCGCAGCCTGCGGAGTCACAGGCACATGTAAGTTTCTGGTATGTCTTCTTGTGATCAACATTCTCCCTCCCCTCCCAGCTTCCTTATGCCGTATGCTCACCAAACCCTCGCTCTTTTAGTTTGAACTGATCAATCCAGTCTGGCCTGGGAACCCCAACACACTCTAGCTATGCACCCTAATAAAGGCATGGCCCCGGGTCCTGCCGCTCATTCCCTCTCTCCCTTGACCTCCCTGTGTGGCCCCTTGGGGCAGGCCCTGTGCTTCCTCCAGGACCTGAGAGTCATAAACTTCTCTATTTCAGTTTCGCTTGTGGTCTGTTGTTGAACCTTGACTCGCCATCCAGCACCCTGTGCTCTACTTAACGCATCTGAATTTAAAAAAGTCGTAACATACCATTTTAAATATCTGCCTTTAAGTTAGTCATGGTAGGGAAAGAGACCTGGAGGATCACGGGCGATGTTCTTAAGGGACTTAATCACTTCTGTCCATCTTATACTGGGCAGAACTCAGTCTGATGAGGTGACAACCCCAAGGGATCCTGTGACATGTAGGCTTCCTTTGTGCCCAGGGAGAAATGGTATTGCGAACACAGAGTGTGGCAGAGTACTTGTCTCTGCCACAGTCTTTTTATACGCAAACTAAGCTGCGGTGGTGCAGGTGGTACGGAGGATGCTGCTGATGCCCTCATGCCCTTGGCCCACCTCTGAGCTCATGCGCAGCTGCAGAGGCAGTGTCTGTGCATGGGGCTGGCCCGCTCCTGCAGATGCCCACGTCTCTCTGCTTTGCTGTCAGGGGTCTGTCAGTTAGGGCGCAGGGCAGAACTCCGGTGCCTGGAATTTAATGCCCCTTGGGCAATTCTTCACCGAAGGCATAGGAATTGGTGGGTTAATATCGAGGCTTCCTTGGCCTTCCTGGAGACAATTCTGAGATGCAGGCTGCACTGTTCCTTGGTGGGGCAAGTGGCAGCGCCCCACCGCGGTAGCTCACTCACAGATCACCCTTTGTTGTTTGTTTCTCCCTTCTGGGTCTCACTTTCCTTACTGGTTGTTTGTTCATCCTGGGCTCATTCCTGACGTTCCATTTACTTTCAAGTCCTTGTCCCAGTGTCTGCTTCCAGAAGAACCCAGTCTAAGGACTGATGGACAGAGCTTAAAAGCAGCTAAAAGAGTAATCCTGCTGGGGAAAAGGCCCCCAGGTGGGTTCATACAGGTCTCTCTTTGGCAGGAGAGAAATGTAGTTCAGGAAAGAGGGACTTGAGTCGGGAGGCTGCCGGGGGAAAGGTCAGGAGAGTTTCTCTGCAGGGATGATGCAGACTGGTTAGGAGCAGAAAGTATTTGCTGCAGATACCACATGATTAAAGGCTTCAGAAACCTGGGGAGTGGTGGTGGACTGGTGAGCTTTGATAAACGCTGCTTATCTGGGCTTCTCCAAAATGCAAACATTTTGCTCCAAATTCTTCACTTATGAGATAAAAATTCAAACTCCAGATTCTTGAAGATGGCATACAAATTCCTTCACCATCCAACCTCTGCCTGCGTGACTTTCTCTCCCAGCATCCAGTCAAGCCGCCTGTCTGGTCCCCCAGTATTCCACGAAGACTCTCTTCTCCTGCCGGGATGTCTGTAACTCTTCTTCCAAGAATAATTTTGTTAAGACTAAGCTCAATCTAATGCCTTCTATGAAGCTGTCCCCAACTTCCCCAGCAAGATTTTTATTATTTATTCATTCAACAAATATTTTTCAAATGCCACCACGTACCAGGCACTGTTTGAAGTACTGAACATAGTAGGGCGAAAGCTGATAAATATTCCTGCCCTTACGAAGTTCGCCTTACAGAGTGGGAAATTAGAAATAAGCTCGATCTCTTCTCTGGCCTTTAAGTCCCTCACGGGCTATGAGTATGAATGTCTTTTCAGGATCTGCGTCTAGCAGACCCTGTGACAGCTGCTTAGCGACAATGTTCTCAGCACTGGGAGAAGATCACAGAAGAGCCAAGAGAGCGTAACAGTTATGCTTAGTGGGAAACCATGTTCATACCTTGTTGTTTGGATTTCCTTTAAGTCAGACTCCCTATTTTGTATTTTTGTTTACTCATTTCTTAAGAAAGGCTGTTAATGTATTTATAGTGATTTTTATTAAAGAGATTTTAAAAATTAATTAAAAAGTGTGATGCTGTACAACCCTCTGCAGGTACTTAATGCCACCAAATTGCACACTTTAAAGTAAGTAAGATGGTCAATTTTATGTTACGTGTGTTTTACCACCATAAAAGGAAAAAAAAATGAGACTCGTCATTTCATTCCACAAAGAGACACTTACTATGCCCCAGGCGCTACTCTGGATACGGGGACTGTACAGACAAATAAGATGTGGTCCCCATCCTTGAGGGACGCAGGGTGTAGCAGCAGGAGACAGACATATGAGCCTTAGGGATGATCAAGGGTTGTTCCCGTGCCTGGGGAGAGCCCTCTGTTCAGCCCACGCCACCTTAGTCACTAGCGACAGCTGCCAGAGTTGGAGGTGTTGAGTGCTCAGAACACCGCCGAGGGATGAATCAGCCTTTTAGGGCTAACTTTGTGTTTTCAAAGATGACAAGTAACGGAAACACGGCAGGACATTTTTTATGAGTGGGATTCTGAGGAGCCCAGCCGAGCACATGCCCAGGTGCTGAAGACACTTGATGGTAAAGCGCATCTTAAAGCAATCGAGCGCTGCCCTGGCAAGAGACCTGCGCTCGTCACGGGTATTTAGAGGTGAGGCAGCCATGTTTGAGAGAATTGTTGGATGGACTTTTGGTTGAGAGAGATAGGGTGTGGACAGCAGTGGAGTAATCGCACTGACTCTTAATGTGAGGCCAAGGAAAGGCCCTCATCCTCCGTGTCTCTGAGACTTCCAGCTGCATCCCTCGCATCCTAGCAACTCGGCAAATGGAAGCCCTGCAGTGGGCACAGGAGTCAAGTCTTCTCCAACAGAGAGGGTGGGGAGCCTAGCACCTGGGGCTTGGTGTGAGCAGGTCACCAGAGAGTTTATTCACCCACGGCAAGAAGAGAAAACCAGATGCAGACAGAGGCCCTGTGGGGAATGGGCCTTGCCTGGGGGTGAAGTGGCTGAGAAAGGGGATCTTTTTGAAATTACAGGGGATGATTTTAACAGAAGACAGAAGAGTCATAATTGTCTGAGTTGTGCATTGTTTTTTTCCCAAATACAAGAGATTTCAATAGTTCTCTTCTGATCGGCCCAATGATGCTTCATTTTTTTTATTGATTTATAATCATTTTACAATGTTTTGTCAAATTCCAGTGTAGAGCACAATTTTTCACTCATACATGAACATATATATATTCATGGTCACATTTTTTTCTCTGTGAGCTACCATAAGATCTTGTGCATATTTCCCTGTGCTATACAGTATAATCTTGTTTATCTGTTCTACAATTCTGAAATCCCGTCTATCCCTTCCCACCCTCCACCCCCCTGGCAGCCACAAGTCTGTATTCTCTGTCTATGAGTCTATTTCTGTCCTGTATTTACACTTTGTTTTTGTTTGTTTGTTTTTGTTTTTTAGATTCCACATATGAGCGATCTCATATGGTATTTTTCTTTCTCTTTCTGGCTTACTTCACTTAGAATGACATTCTCCAGGAGCATCCATGTTGCTGCAAATGGCCTTATGTTGTCGGTTTTTAAGGCTGAGTAGTATTCCATTGTATAAATATACCACGTCTTCTTTATCCAGTCATCCGATGATGGACATTTAGGCCGTCTCCATGTCTTGGCTATTGTAAACAGTGCTGCTGTGAACATTGGGGTGCAGGTGTCATCCTGGAGTAGGGTTCCTTTTCCAATGATGCTTCTATGTTTTGTTTGTTTGTTCACACAAGAGGAGACTGTTGGTGGACTACGGCAGGATGGTACCGTACTTCCTGTGTGAAAGAGTGGACAGGATCTTCTGAGAGTGTGCAGGGGATGTTTAGTGCCAAGTTTGCTTCTGTACCTGTGTTCCTTTCGGATGGCACTGAGTGACAGGTCCCCCTTGAGGACGGTTTTGCTGTGGGTACTGATTCTTACAGTTTGAAGGGAGAGGAACTCTCCTTGAAAATGTGTGTAAGTGAAGTCAGTTTAATGGACATGCTTTGAACTTAACTTCCATTTATATCAAAGGGGCAGACTTGTTCATTTGAAGTCCTCTGATGTCTCTTCGGATTAGCCATGTGGTGGCTTAAGGCAGTTTCCTCTACTTGCCAGATCCTCAGTTTCCATATCTGTAAAACGGACCAGTTGGGCCAGCTGATTTCTTGGGTGTCTCTGGCTCTGCCTTACCTTTCAGCAATCAGCTCTGTATAGATAATCACATCCACCCAATTATACACCCAACTGGTGACTTGTCTATAATTACGTTAATAAAGCCCCAGAGGCCAAGACAACACTGAGAACACCAACTGTGAGATCACTTGGAACCAGGAAGATAATGATATGTTGTAGGGATGTGTTTTGTACACACATATCAACTCGGAAATTTGTTCAAGTCCGAAGAGTGTAGGAAGCTCCAAGTTGCTGTTCATGTCGATAAATATGAGTAAAACGATAATACTAAACATCTCTAGTTTTGAAACAAATACTTTTGATTTTATGATCTTTAGAATTTTCTCTCTCATTTTTTCATCCTGTATTTATCACTTCAACAAATATTTATTGAGCATCTCCCATGTGTCAGACACTGGTCTAGGTCCTGGGAAGAGTGTTAACAAGACAGATAAAAATTCTTGAGCTGGGGAGTGGGGTATATAGCTTAGCGGTAGAGTGCATGCTTAGCATGCACAAGGTCCTAGGTTCAATCCCCAGTACCTCCATTAAAAAAAAAGTGTGCAATAGCCAAAAGAAAAAAAAATCCTTCACCCTATGGAGCTTACATCTTAATGGGAGAGGGAGCTATGAAAAGAACAAGGTTGCTTCAAATATTCATAATGACCCCAAGGAAAATAAAACAGGAATAAGAAGGGACAAGGTGAAAAGGAATGACTGGGATGAAGGTGAATAATGAACATGCAGATCCAGGAAGGCCTCTCTGAGGAGGTGACATTTGAGCTGAATCCTAAATGGGAAGAATATGTCTAGGCAAAGGGCATGGCAGGATTCAGAGCCCCATGAACAAAGCAGGAAGCAGCCTGTCTCCCCATCTCACAGAAGAAGAGACTGGGGGGC